ACCGATTTATGTGTAACTTCTGTCCCTAACCTCAAGGTCTATAGTCTGTAGCCTCAAGGTCAAATAGTTGCATATGCCTAAACTTATAGCTTTTTAAAGGTAATGTACCATATTTACTCAAATCAAAGCCAAGAGTTTTTTTCCCCCCATTCAGCATGGGGTGGAAGGAAAGCCCCTTGCCTTGGATTTGAGTATAAGTGAGGCCCTGGGGGCTGCGGCTCTGTCTCCATCCTGGCCTTGGCATCAGAGCCACAGCCCCTGCCTCCTGTAGAGCCACAGCCTCTACTCTCCTCCCCCTTGCCACTTCTGCTTACCTTCCTGTCACAGCTCTGGCTCTACCCTGCTCTGGCCCACAGCATGGAGCACATGCTGGTTCTGGTCCCTGCCTAGGCCAAAGCAGGAGTAATGGTGGTGGCAGCCCCAGCCCTGGATTGGAGCTGGAGCCATGACAGAAGGGTAAGCAGTGGCATAGAGGGCAGGCAGTGGGGGGAGGCAGGTGGGGGTAAGGAGCAGGCATTAAGACTGCGGGGGAGGGGCAAGCAGCAGGGGACAATGTGTGTGGGGTTTGCAGGCCTCACAGGGTGCAACTGATAGGGTTGCAGGGGCCAAGGGCCCGACACCCCTGCTGCCTGCCCCCTTGCTGCTTGCCATGCTGCAGTGGTGGAAGGAATACATTTAAGAAGACCCTCCAACAATTGGATTGTATACATGGAAAACAATAATAACATTTTAAATTTTCCGTGTCGACAATCTAATTATTGGGCATCATCCTATGTTAGAAGTTGTCTTGAGTAAATACAATAGTTGTATGTGGTAATTGTTTATCTTTTTCATTGATGCTGTAGATAAGTCATAGATAGGTAGATGTTTTTGTAGGTGGTGGTGGTACTATATCAATGCCTTGTAAGAGATATGGGATTCAAGTGTAAGGATAAGGGCAGCTGGCACACGTTTGGTAAAATCCAATCTCTTTAGGCGGAGATATGTAGTGGTAATGCCAGAGCTCTGAGCAACAAAACATTTTGGATGTTGCATCCTGCACAGCTTTTTCACGCCTCTGTTTAAAGTGAAAGTGAACAACTTCATTCCTTTCTGAGAACACTGTGTTTTTATAGATCAAACTGCTAATCAAAAGTACCTTCTGTACTTTGTTCTAATATAATGTTGCTGATATTGCAGAAAGCCAAGACCTGTATCCATTATTTACAGTATTCAAACACAGGGATTACAACTCATTCTCATTGGTGGCAATGTGATGTGTTTTCTATCACAGGATTTTTTTGGGGGGGGGAGGGGTGTTCTACCTGTTTCTGTTAAGTTTGAACTACAATGTTCTTGTTTAGGGCTAACAATATCACCACATATTAAAGAAGTCATTGACCTTTACCTTTATCATCTTCAGGCAGTTTGGGGATATTTATAGAAGAATAACTGGAGGGGGTGGGGGAAGAGAATCTTGTTCATCTTAACTTGTATGTATAACGTTCATCTCCTGCTTCCTGAGAAAGTTGAGTTTTATTTTCCTCATATTTGTAGATTATCTGGAGTTGGTGCGGGGGAACCTAGCAGACACTGTGCAACTACTTTATGTATAACTTCACTGCTGAGTTTTGTTTTGAGATGGCTAAAATTTAATATAGGAAGTAGTTAACAAAGTTTGTGGCTGAAAACCAATGATCATATTGAATAGCATACTTGAGCAATTTGGGAAAAGTGATGAGATTCGTTGGCATTCAGCCTCCATTGCACTTTTTAAATTGATACTTCTGTGAAACTATTCAGTTTTTCACTCAAGTTCAGCTTTGTTTTGTGAAGGGTTCGTTTTGTTCCTAGCAAGTAACTTTACAAATACAATTCTCACTCTAATATAGCCCAGTGGATTTGACTCTCCTATAAGTCTACATTTATTTACTAACCAACACATGTAATGTTAAGCAGAACATTTATTTTCAAGGAGGCTCAACTGCTGAATCTCAGATGAACCGCAGCGTTCAAATATGTAACCTTGAGGGCAGTAGATTTTTTTTTCTTGGCCCTCCCTCCTTTCTGGAATTCGGAGTAAGCACTTGCCAAATTGGAAACGAAGGGGTTGTAGCACATGCTGGTACTGTTATTTAAACACAGATGTTTCCTTGAAGACTTACTGAGCAACACTTTTACATTTCTATTATCTTTAAATACCTGCTTTCTTTGTTGTGACAAATTTATCAGCCCAAAAAAGCTCCCAAACATTTCCAAATATGAAAAATTATTTTCAATACCAGCATGTATTAGGTATTTTGATATGTCTGTTGTTTGTTATCCTGTTTGTTTAAGCAGTTGTTGGAGGTGGGGGGAACAAAGGAAAAAAAAACTTATTTTGTCATACCATGTTAAATAAAAATAAGTATTTCCCTGTGTTTTCTCAGGAAAAAGCACTGCTTTTAGGCATTCTAATATTAAAATAGTTGCTGTTGTACAACTAAAAGGTGATAGCAACACTTAATTTTGTCCCACAATAATTGTGTGCATGAAAGAGTTTGTAGGGTTCTGCCTGGCCTGTTTCCTGCTGTATCAGGCCAAGATGTTAAACCTGAAAAGCCTCAGAAATAGGCTCACAGAAGCTGGCTTCAGCAATGCCCTCCAACTCTTCCACTTCTTGGACCAGGCACACATCACATTTGAGTTTGGACCCTTCACCTTGTACCAAAATGTAAACCCGTTTGGGTTGTGCTGGGCCATGGAGGAGACAGCCTGCAAGGTGCAAGACGGACAACCAGTCCTAAGTTTTCAGGCCCATGAAGGTTGCTGGGGGAAAGCCGGCTTTCAGTCTGTAATGATATGAGTGCTTTCATTATTACTGACAAGTGTTTCTTGCTCAGCCCCTGGGAGAGCCACACATTTGCATACATGCTTTTTTTTAACTTTAAAATTTATTATTAAAAAAAATGAAAACACAGAGTTTCCTTCTCCCTCTCCTGTCCACAGGGAGAATTGTGACTCTGGCTTCTTCGTAGTAAAATAAGACTGTGTTAATGTTTAATAATAAGTTTCAGCACAGGTGACGTTCTCAAATAGTTTTATAATTGTTTTTAAAGTTCAGTAGGTCAGTAAGTATTGACCTATGTAACTCAGTGGGTATTTTTCCACATGGTTTCTTCGTGGCTGCTTTGTTCTATATTTTAAATAGCTGTGCTGGAAAATCATGTATTTTTGATTAATTGGGAAATGCAGATAAGAAATTCTAAGTGCTAAATTTCAGGTAAAATGTAAATATGCTTGCCCAGGGCTGTTGGTTGTAAGCCATGTAGGTCTAAGGACATGGGTAGGCAAGGTTCTTTGGGTAGAAGTGATATCTTTTATTAGACCAACTAAATAGTTGGGAAAATGTTAAGCATGGCAAATATATTTTAGAATACTCTCCATGCAGGCATTTCCTAAAATTTGTAAGTGCCTTTTATTATTGTCTTTGAACTCTTAATAAATCTCTCTCCTACATTAAAGAAATTCTGCCATTTGTTTCACAACATCTCATTTAATAAAGTAGTTCATTGTGAACAATTAAGAGCTTGCAAGAAATTAGGACAGGTAAAGATTCACTCCAAATCCTAGTGCATCCTTTTCAGACCTTTTTGTTACCCATTTTATACTATTTTTAAAGTATCCAAAACATGAAGTTGAGCAGAGTAGACATCTTAAACTCCCATCACGCGGATTACTTAGAATGTACTAACTTATTTTATGAAGTTGACTGGTAGACCAAACAGCCAGATAATTCCATGTGAGAAAGAAATTGTGCTCGTTTTGTAGCACAACAAATCTTGGTTCATGACTGGGGTTCTTAGCTACTGTGGTAACACCAACACTGTGCAAATAAAGAACTAAACAGAACAATGAGTAGATGTATCTTGCCAAATTTGGCTCTGTCCTGTAAACACTGTTTTCTGAGTGTTTCAGGAAAGACAGTTGAGAACCATTTTTCATTGTTCTGATCTATTAAGACCAGTGGTGCTAATTGTAGATAAGTTGCAGTTAATTAAGAATTTTACAAATCAAGCCACCGGTCTAGATTAGTACAACCAGACCTTAACAGTTTTGTCACTTAAAATATTTTTCTTTCAGAGGAAAAGCATGTCTGTCTTGTGTGTGAAAACGCAGCAGCAGCACTAATGCACAGATGGAAAATTCTCAGCCAAGACTGACATTCCAGCCTTAATTCATCCCACGACGTATGACATACACATGCTATACATTCACATCAGTACATGATACTCCATACTGCGTCTTAAATATGATAGAGATTTGAATGGAATATTGACTTCAAATGTGGATCTCCCACTCATACATTATAAGAGGAGGGGGGATAGATATGGTTATTCCTGAAAAGCCTTCAATTTTATCCAGGATTATGAATCTCTATTATTATTAACATATGACTTGTGTGAATGAAGGACCATGTTCCATAAAATTACCTGTCTGTAAAGATGTGCCCCATGTTGAGAGTATACTTTGGAAATCCTCAAATTACTTGACATACTGGTAGTTTTTTCATTATCTTGCTATCGTTTGACAATACTTAACAGGTGGGGATTAAAACATGCACTATATTAAGTTACTTTACTGTACCTGAGATTTGACACAATTGGTTTTGTTGGAAAGATTTGGAAATCTCATTTGAAAAGGGAGAATAATGGGGGAGAAGGTTTGGTTCATGTGCAAATACCTGAAATAGAATGGGTTAGATTCTAATACCCTTATTTGCACTGAATAGCTTCTTGTAGCCTGTTCTTCCTACCAGGAGTCAATTCGGCCTCTTGATGAAGAAAATGTGACAGAATATAACCTCTAATGAAACAGGGTGAGAAAGAAGATTTTGCTAACAGTTTTGAACTTTGCTTTTGCTGATCAAGTTTTTTTGTTTGTTTGTTTGTTTTTAATCTCTCCTTGTTTCTAGACTTTCTGTACTCTAGAAAATCATTGTTGTGAATACATGACTAACTCCCTGGTTTGTTTTGTCTCAGTCACATTGATCAAACAACTACATGGCAAGATCCCAGAAAGGCCATGCTTTCCCAGATGAACGTGACAGCCCCCACCAGTCCTCCAGTTCAACCGAACTTAATGAATTCAGCATCAGGTAAGAAAAAAAATCAGTATCTGTAAGAGCCATTGATGCATTTGTACCACTTTTCTGCTTTTAATGTTTTAAGGAACTGGATGTATGTTAATTCCTTCTGACTTAATTCACATTTAATCTGTTCACTATTGTGGCCAACTGGTTTTTCAGTCTACCTCCTAAACGCAGCTTCCTTCCACCTTCTTCTGAAGTGAGTTTGCAGTGCAAGGTGCTCCCTTTTGTTGCTTAAAGCCTAATTTTTTCAGTCGTCCCTGGACCTACTGCTCCAGAGCTCAGGCAAATTAACTTGATTTTATACTAACTTTTGGTAACTGATGCACTTTTCACCTTTTTGCTACTCCTGTCTCTTATTCCTCATCTGAGCTCATGATTTATCTCCCCACTTCTCTTGCTATCTACTTTTCTATTGTATGACCCCAAAAGAGGGAGCTTTCACGCATCTTTTGGTCGTCTTATTAAACATGCTTAAATGCAAAAGATAAGCAGGCATGATTGAAACTGGGCTATTTGTGGTTGTGACTTCTAAAGGTGAGGCTAATGAAGCCGTTGTCTTGAGTTTCTTCTGGCCTGGCTGTGGTACTGCATTCAGTGAGGCAAAAGAAGAGAGATCTTGGTTGGATTTAAGGCAGTCATTACTCCAAATGTAGTTACAGTCTTGGTATTTCTCTAATTTGAAAGAGTAATATAAATTAGTGATCATATTTTCCAGAACAACAATAGACAATCAACAGCTGTGTAATCCTGATGCTCCCCTGCAGGATTGTCTTTGGCAACTTCAAAAGAATAGGGAATGGGGCCACTCCCACTATCACACCCTCAATTTATTCATCTCCTTGCTTACACCAGAGAACTAGATGTTTCCTGCTTGAGCATTCACAGTCCTGTGTTCTGTTTGCAAGATATATTTAAAAACTTTGCGTTGCTGTCATTACAGGATTACGATGAAAGGGATTTTGATGTCCGATAAAGGGACATGCAAGACAGATTTGGAATAAAACTGATAATTGATTACACACTACTGTTTAAAGTTAGCAAAACCAGTTTGTAACCCAGGGTTTATGGGAGGATCTAAAAAAGGCAGCCTTTAAACTTGCTCAATCAACACTCGAGGAGAATTTTAATGTTCAATGTCAAATGAGCAAAATCCAAATGAAAAACAGAAGTAAGTTAGTAAGTAATTTTACTCCAGGTACCTACCTGTGGAAGATGTAGGGGGAGATTTGGAGCTAGTGTACAATGGTGTCTTAATGTGTAATGCAAGTCTATAAATCAAAATAATTTTGAATTTTCTTATCTTAGGCTATGTGTTTTAAATTGATTTTTCAGTAAAAGAAAAAAATCTCTCATTCTGCCTCAAAAGTCTGATTTTTGATAAATTATGAAAAATTATTACTGATAAGCCAATACAAGTTTTTCTGTGTGAATTACAAAAGATTTTCATCACTTTGTCCTTTTGTTTTATCATCTATCTATTGTGCTTTGGAAATGAGATGCAAAGTAAACATATACATCAGTTGTAGTAGTGTAATGTTTAGCTCTTGAATTTCACCTGTAGAGCTAATAGTTTTTTGTGTTTAACAAGTTTTCTCTGAACGAAATGAACTCTAGAACGCCATACATTACATATTGACTCTTTCTGATACATGGCTGATTTAATATACTCATTGCAAATATTGTCAATAGATTTGTTTTCTACCCAGCTTACATATTTTGATACTTATGTGTTCTGTTACTTTGTTGAGTATGTGGTAATTTTTGTTTTTTATTTTCTTAAACAGCTTCTTAAATAACGGAGCATAATTTAAAGAATTGAATTGACCACTTGTTGATTGTGCAGCATTGTGCAAATATTGTACAGCAACTGGTTTAATGGGATTTTTACCTCTGGGTGCTGTCATAATATCATAATATTTTTTACTGCTGGCAGTAATGAACTTTAATTTTTTAACTGTCCAAATTGAAATTCTTATGCTTAGGAATTGCTCTGTAAGGCTAGGAAGAAGAGTTGAGTTTCTTGATGCCGGAAGTTGAGATTTTCTGATGTAAATGTATTTGGCAGTGGAATGTACTTTACTCTCTCGAAAGATTTCATGGAAAATTTTGGAGAAATTACAAAATATAGTTATCATGGCACCTGAAGGTAGTCAATTTACAAATAAGTTTCTGGGTTATTACAAAAAGGAGACTTCTTGCCTCTATACAGTTAATTCTTATGTAGCACACACATCATACTGATTTCAGATCTTCACAACTAGCATTGCTCCAGAGTGTCAGCATAAGTAAATGTAAACTACAGAATATCAGACATAGCTGAGGGGTAACAAAAAAAAATATGAAAGAACAAGGTTCAGGGGGTGTTTCAGGAGGTTGGATGTTTTGTTTTTTGGATTTTTTTTTCTGGATTAAATTAGGAATTAAAGTGAAGAAATGGGAGATGAATAGAGCAGGGGAAGTTTGGGTTTATCTCGTGAATCACTATAGGTGTTCAATAGGGGTGTGCGAAATGGGCTGTATTTGATTCAGATTCAGCCAGAATCGGGTGACAGCGATTCAATTAGTTGATTTGGATCACTGTCCAGATTCTATTCGGCCAGACAC